TCGAGAGCGGGTCGTGCGATGGATGTCCCGGAGGCAACGCTACCATCAACAACGAATGCAGTACAACCGAATGCCAGCACTGCGCCCGTCGTTGGAGGTGACGGTACCGCGGTGGTTTCGCCGACGTTGGAAGACAAGGCGGCGCTGCGAAGGGCTCGTGAGGCCGAACGTAAGCGGGCGAAGTGTGCAGCGGATGCCGAACTGCGTGCTCGCGAGGCCGAGTGCAAGCGGGCGAAGCGTGCAGCGGATGCCGAACTGCGCGCTCGCGAGGCCGAGGACAAGCGGGCGAAGCGTGCAGAGGATGCCGAACTTCGCGCTCGCGAGGCCGAGGACAAGCGGGCGAAGCGTGCAGCGGATGGTGAACTGCGCGCTCGCGAGGCCGAGGTGAGGCGTCAGCATCGAGCCGCGAACGCGGCCCAAGAAGCGGAACGACAACGCAAGCGTCAGGCGGAGAAGGGCGATGAAGGCCGGCGTCAAGACGCCGCTCGCAATCGTCAACGGCGAGTGGACGTTCCCGAAGCCGTTCGATCCAGTGAACGTGTCGCGCGGGAGAGGGTGCGAGCCCTGGACTTTGCTCGTCCGGACGCGCGTTTCAAACGCGACTGTGTGGATCGCAGCTTCGGTCACAGCTGCGCCGTGTGTGACCGGCTGTGGTTCGATAACAACCTGAGCTGCATTTCCGGCGTGAGGAACGAGACCAACAGGTTGAACGCGTTGCGGGTTCTTTGGAACGAGTTCGGAAGACGGTCGGGCGAACACTGATGCGACGACATGGATGCGCAAGACCCGCGACTGGCTCCCTTCGGTGCGTTCCGGGTGTGTGCGTCTTGCCGAGAGTCCCTGCTGGCCGGGCGGGTTCTGCCGTTAAGCAAGAGCCACGGCTACGCGTACCCGCCTCGTCCCGCGGACCTCCCCGATCCGAACCCGGTGGAAGAGCGCCTCATCTCGCCTCTACTCCCCTTCATGAGCATCAGGCAGCTCACGCGGGGCAACGGTCAGTACGGCATTAAGGGACAGATCGTGAACGTGCCAATCGACGTTCCGAGCGTGGTGGAGTGTATTCCGCGGCTAGTTCCCGAGGACGTTGCGATAGACGTGCACGTGAAGCGGAGGCTTGTGAGTCCGGCTACGTACAGGCGCGGACTGGTGAAGCGCGGTAACATCTTGGCGTGGTTGAAGCACCTGGAGCATGCGCCGTTCTATGTCGCTAGCGGCGTGCGCATCGACTGGAGTCGGCTGGGTGTCTTCGATGACGATGATGCGGCCGTTTGTGAAGGTGAACGCGCCCAGGCGGGAGACGACGCGGATGACATCGAGACTGTCCCCGAGAACATAGATTTGGACGACCCCGTGCAACTATCCATTGCCCTCAATGCCATGTCAAAGACGATGTTCTTTAATGAGGAGGGTGAGCAACGACCGCGCGCTCTCTTGATGAGAGATGATGGGGAGCGAAGCGGTGAACTGGACGATGCCGCTGCCGCTGACAAGCTGATCGATCAGTCGCATAGCATGCACCTCGCTCCGTGTGAGAACCGAGTCCCACTGGCGCTCTTCGTGGATGCGTATGCGGAAGAGCTCGCCTTCCCCACGATATACATAGGCGTGCCTCGCAAGATCATCGGTCCGCGTTCCACGCCATTCGCCATGGCCAGCAGCGAGATACGGCGCACCGACCGGCGTGGAGCAACGCCGGAGCATGTCTTGTACATGGCCGCGAAGGTGATGCGGTACAACGTTGCGGAAAGCAACATGATGTTTCGCACCAACGAGACCACTGGTTCCATCACGCGCGAGCAGCTCGAGAGTGGCGGTAAGAAGTTCCTGGAAGAGGTGCTGGACCGCGACCTCACATTCATGCGGGGCGTTCCAAATACGGTCCAGTACTGGCAGGACCGCAGGAGTGAACTCTTCGCAATGATCCGCCAGTTGGGCAAGCCGCACGCGTTCCTGACCATGTCCGCGTCCGAGGTCCACTGGGAGCGCCTGCTCGAGACCCTGGAGCGGCTGCGGGTTAGGCCCGACGGCAAGCCTCGGCCCGTGTCCGAGATGATCGTATCCACTCTCCCTGAGTGGCTACGATCGCGTGACCCGGGCCCTCGCCGAGAGAAGGGCTGGTGGAGTGGACGTCTTCCTAAAGCGCTACCGGCCCTTCAGTGAAGAGCTCAGGCGACAGCAGGACCGGACCCAACTCCAGGTCTTACAGCATGCCGACCTCGCTCCTGATGCATCGCCGCGAACGTGTCCCACTGACGACCCGTGCTCCTTCGCCCGGAGTGGAAGCCGGGGCGAGTACTGCGGCGTGTGCTTGGTTGGACACGTCTACGCCAACGTCCTCTAGCATGCCGTGTGTACTTCGCCGCTCAGAGACGACTCGCCGTACGCCTCCGTCTACCCAGTGCCTACTCCGGCGATGCCGTCCTGGTTGTGACCGTCTACCTGGCCCCGAACCTCTCGAGAGATGACGTCTTGGAGCAGATGGATGCGGCGATGGAGAGTGAGTCTGTGCGCGCGCGTCCCTCGGTTCCGATTGTGGTGGTGGATGACTTTAACGTGGACGTTAGAAAGGACAATGGCTGGTTGGTTGACCACATGCTGAACAATTACTCGATGACGTGTCTGTCTCTCGAGTTTCCGACCATGATCAACGGTGGCTTCATAGACTTGGCGTTCAGTAGGAACTGTACGGTCCACTCCGTCTTGCCGGATCCGCTCACCGTACATTTCTCGGATCACAAAGCGCTGGTACTAACCGTGAGCTACAACGATAACACGAATAGGTGCTAATCTGTAGTGTAGTTTGTGTGTGTGTGTGACGCGCTCGCGATGTGTGCATTTAGTGCATCGTACGAAAATTGTGAAGTGTAAATAAATAATACTTCGTATATAATGTATCTGTGTACAAATGCTTCATGACAAACAACACTTAAATTCATTAATTACACTTTAATCATCATCATCAGTAATAAAACTCCCAAGCATTTCCCCGAGGGTGAACATGGTTAAGTGCGAATGCACGGGGTGATGCTATGAGGGGGAGTAAAGTTTAAATCCGTTGGCATTCGCCAGTGAGTTAACGTAAACTCCCCCGTGTGATCAAATTGCGATTCCCAGGAACCATTACACCATAAAGGCACCATAGTGTGATTAATAAATATAATAGTGCGAATTAATAAATACCCCTCATAGCATCACCCCGTGCATTCGCACTTAACCATGTTCACCCTCGGGGAAATGCTTGGGAGTTTTTTTTTTTCTGCGCCCGCCGCGTACACCACGCTGCTTAGCGATACGTTGGTAATAATTCCTGCATTTCGTGACGCGAATTTCTCAATATGCAAGGCCTCACAACTAGGGAAAGTTGTTAAAGCTGTAAGAAGTTTACATAATTTAGCTTAGGATAGGCACACTGGCGCCCGAACCGGAGATTTATTGTGAACCTGGTGACGCAGGAGAAGACGTTCTTTGTGTTTAACGCCTACCCAACAGATTGGGTGCTAAGAAAATATGCTAAGTGGTACTAAGGTTGTTACAACTAGGTACAGACTCCGGGATTAGAACACGTCTGTGTCGAAGTATGAGAAAGGAAATGGGAACGTTTTCAATTGACTCAATGCATTGCGCTTTATCGTGAGAGTAGCGTCTGCATCTGCGAATGTTCTAAATGATTTGACAGAACTGCGCTTTCTCCAGAAGGAGACATTACATGAATATGACTGCCATAAGCACTCATGTAGCATATTCGTCAAACAAACAAAATAGTATTGTCGCACACACAACGATTTCGGAAATAATGTTCACTGGGAGCATATGCATATGCTTATTCTCAACAGCCGCCAGTGATTATGTAGTCCTATATCATTGTTTGCATGAAATGCTGGAGTGTTCTACCGCCGCGTCACAAACGCTAATGGGAGCTTCACGTGGGAGCACCGCTGATAGCAAAGATAGCAACAAAAATGTCAGAAAGTCGAAACGAACTCTTTCTATGGCGCACTGACGGACGTGGCCCAAGCAGTGTCGTAACCAGGGAATCGCTCACCCAGCCTGTCACCACATTTTTTTTTCTCCGTGCAGACAGAAAAATGACCATGTCAAGTAGGTGCCCTCTCCCAATCCCGAAAAAAATTCCAACCTATCAGATTCTGGACCCATGTAATAACTAAACAACCTTCGCCTCGATGAGGCGACGACTGGTCTCGCACGTCACGCCCACCAACAGGTAATCAACTGTAAGGAAACTTAACATATGAGGAGGCTATCTAAACATGTAGTTCGCAGCGTGACCACACCGTTGCTAAGATTCTCCACGAAGACAGAATCTGAGCACAATAGGGATTTCCGCACCTAACCTCAACCGCACTTAACCTCAATAATTTTGGTAATTTAAAGCAAGATTCTAGCGAGAGAAACATAAAGCTAAACCAGATGTTGAGTGAGCAAGTACACGAGAAAAACACACAACAACGGCGACGGTATTCTAGGGCAAGCGCCTTCCGGGCGCTTGCCCTAGAATACCGCTATGCCCTAGAATAATGCTATGTTGCGATACTCGACGCTACCCGCGAGCATGGGGCTTGATGCACTTGTGAACGCGCTGTCCGTAGATGCGTGCTTTCCTCCGGCAGAAATTATTCTAGGGGAGGAGAAGCCCTGATATCATCGAAAGGAATCAGCCATGCACATCTCAACCTTATAATGTAAATATGGTGTCCTGATTCCTTCAAAATCACGTGTTTATGCGTCAAATAATTTGTTGTATGCAAACAGAAGCGTGGTCTTGATTTTCATACCCGTCGGAATGCGGCTGTGGTCGCCACGAATGGAATCCATAATCGGGGTTAGCAGCACGACACAGACATTTTCACTCATCTCGCATTGCTATACGACCCAGAGCGTGATTGTAAACTCTTTATTGTTTCACCTGAAACATTACTAATTGTGTTTCCTTAATTTATCTGCAGCTTGAGACAAGCAAAAAGCGAACGCAAACATTGGAACAGCGCACGAAGCAAGCGCAAAATTATATAGGCGCGCCGCGGCTCGCATCGAAGAGTCCGTGCCGTGACGTCATCTGCCAGGCGGCGCCACGCCAACTTCTCCGGGCTAATAGAGAAGGCGCAAAACTTACCGGACGAGGGAAACGCACGGCGCCACACTCCGCGTCGCCGCAGCGAACACGCGCACCGACCTACCGGTAACGTGACGCACCGCGGCGGCTGCCCGCACATTTTTGCAGCATCCGGCAAGCCGTGCGCAGCAAGTTCTGCCGCACAGGCTGCGACATGATCGCCCTTGTCGCACCGTCGCCAACGCCTGCTCCGCTTATACTCGTGCCGCAGCAGCAGCAAGCAACAACGTTCATCAGCAGCGATAGGTGACGAAGCTCTACGCCAGCCGGCACAGGGACAATGCGTTTCCCGTGGAGGAGTTCGTAGAGGCCGTGCAGCAGCACCGCTTCCTTTACGACCGTAACGAGCCGGACTTCAAGAACGTCGCCATGAAAGAGGCCATGTGGGAAGCCATCGGTCAGCAGTTCGGAGTGTCCGGTAAGGCTTTTCTCATACGGCAAAATTCCATTGCGGCGCTTTTTTTCCGGCGAACCTCTCGCGCTCGCAGCGCCCTCCACGTAGCGCGCCAACTTTGAATCGCCGCAGAAGCGAACTTGGCTGGCATGCATTTAACTTTTCTATCTCTGTCCAACAAACGGGCGCGGACGGTGATAAGCAGTTCTAACAGAGTTGTGTAGATTTTAACTGATGCATTCTCAGTGTTATCAGGCGAGAAAGTCACATAGTCAAATAAGGATGATCGTACAGCTGCTCTCTTCAATAATACAGAAAGGCGGGCTTGTCTTTGCTGCATACTGAAACTTTAGCAAACACTTTTTTTACAACTGAGGACACAAACGAAAAGAATACAAGGACTACTGCAGACTAACAACTGACCTTTATTGAATAATAAAACGGAACAGTTGAATCCCTTTATAAGAGGCATGCTCCAGTCAGCAGTTCTTGTCCTTTATATGAGATGTCTCTTATAAGCAGGGTATCTCGTATGTATATTCATATGGACCCGCATTTTGCTTTAGGCACACTGGCGTCTCTTATATCAGTGTCTCTTATAAAGAAGTTCGACTGTACATACTCTTTTCGGCACCTCATGATCACTGCGCATGAGCAAAACGGCATAGTACACTTCCTTCACATAAACCAATAAATCCTGCAACAGATACAGATTTATATCACATGTTGTTTAGCAAGTCAATATACTTTTTTTTATTCAGCGATACATAAGAGGTGACTGACGCACATGTCTTTTAAGTATAAAGATGTGCCACGCTTCTATGATTCTCGTGTTGTCTGATTAGAGTGAGCATACAAACCATCAGTTTAGTTATACAAAGGACTACATGAACTAAAGAAACAACGTGCACGATGTGTATGCTGGATGTGTTTTCCATCTTCGGGAAACACAGCTTTGCCTTTAGGTGTTGAACGCGATAGCGATATCCTGTTCCTAGTGCGCACATCAAACTCTTTGTGCATGAAACTTTTCGAACTTGTTATGCACCCACTCGTGGCCTGAAAGGGAATAGGCGCATTAGCGTGTGTGCCTTCTGTAGTGGGAAGCCATTATGATGCTATCACATGTTCTGACGCCCGCCGGCAATCGGCGCTTTTACCACGCATTATTACTGCAATAGTGTTGCCACTCGGACTTTAGGTAGTTTAAGTTTGTATTTCTGTGCTGCGTAATAGTTGATCGAGTCCCGTGTTGTTATCAATGTTGTTCGAGATCTACTCCCGCGTCATCTTGTGTCGTTCATTTCGTTGACCACGCACGGGCAAACGGGATGAACCACCCCTGTCATTACACTATGATCACTGCGCAAGAAATACAAAATACCCACTATACGCCATGACAATGACGCTGACGACGATAAAGAACAACTGCGTTTCAGAACACACATCCCCTTTCTATCTGCACGGCACAGCACATGTAAGGTACCCAGGTATACGTCATGACGCGGGCTCCATCGCTTGTACACCCATGAGAATTATGGGAAGTATGGGCTTCGGATCTGCTTTGAATGGATTACGTTCTTGAGATTCGCAACGCTTGTTTACTCAATATAAAACAAAGTAATATGGACGTTATATATATTTGAAACTTGCTTCATTCTTCTGTACGTAAATTTTGTGGCAAAAATTTTTCGTGACTATGAAATCGAAGTGGAACTTGAACAAATTTCACCACCAGGGCATGCATTGCTCTGTCATTCTCTGTCACTGCATTCCACATTTGGCATCAAGATTTAGTTATTTATTTTTTGCAACATTTGAAAACAAACAGTCTTGATTTGCCCTTGTTAGGTATTGTTGTATGAAACTCTATGCTCGCGCTCCATTGCGATTACGTAAAGAGAAGTTCGCGTGTGCCGCAACTCTGGTACCGCTACTCCGGCGTGCCCAGTGCATTTAGTTTCGATTTCTCCGGCATTGTGATTCGGAATTTCGACGATGAATCTCCGAAACTACGCGTGAGATTTTCTATCTTTAAAAACTAGGCTGGTCATAATTTGTGATGTAGAAGAACTTTGCCATATAAACTACCACTAAAATTGATAATAAAATAGTTAATTCGGTTATTTTTCTAATTACTAATTTCTGAGAGAACTAATTAGCGGCAGAATCTTTCCGCATCTGCCGAGAAACTGGCAGCGAAGACGGCGAATTCATGCCTACATATTAGTTTTTTTTTTTTAAGGGACCACAACCAATGTTCATGGTACCCATTTTCTTGAGTGCAACGGAAACCTTGCTGGTCAGAGCTTGTAATCGCGGAACGGTAAACGCAGAAAATGCCGTAGAACATTTGTAATCAGAATTTTTCGATTTGCGACGATTCTGCAGTCTTATGGAGAGATGCTGCAAACGGTGGATGCGCCAGTGTAACGCCAGCAGTGATGAAAAGCTCCGAGTACAAACACATATAGTTGTGTTTGTCAAGTCTGCAGTACCGCGACAGCTGTTTTCTAGCATGCTAAATTATTTTACAACAGCTACAGCATTTTTCTGAGGCTTCTTTTGCAAGTTATTTTGGCCATGCACGCATCGTTTTTTCGATTTCAGCCAAGTGGAGCCAAGCCAAGTCTTCAAAAGGGAAACTGCGTGGCAGCTTGGGCTAGTTGGTATGGCATGACGATAGTTATAGCGCGAGAACAAAACGACGACACAGAGACAAGAAGGACACGAAAGACACGAGCGCTGTTTACAGTACACGTGATTGACAATTCACGCATAGTTTGTAGGTCACGTGTGGACGTAGATGGACGGCTTTAATATGTCACCGCTTGGCAACCTGAGCGACTTATGGGAACGAATTTAGGCTCACATACGAGCGCAAAAATTAGGACCCCTATCAAGTAGCGCATAAGCGACATGCTTCGACGGGGGACCAAAGAGGATAAAAAAAAAAATCACAGCATATCCACGGAGTGAATGATGATGAGTGAAGCGAAGCGTCCGTCAGCCCGCCCGTGTTTCCATCCGCCTGTTTGTTCTTGCTTCCGTTCGTCCGCCTGTGCTTCCACCTGTCCGTTCGTCCCTCCATCTGTCCGTAAGCCCGCGCGTCCGTCCATCTTCTTGTCTGTCTGTGCATCCGTCCACGGGTACATTTAGTGAAAACTCGTACTGCCATCTTCCACCTCGCACCCCGTGGCACATACTCGATCTAGAGCGGGTATGTGCCACCGGTGGCTGTGTACAACAAAATCAGAGGATGTACAGACCCACGCCTCAAGGATCTTCGCCCTTAAAAAATTGCTGGTGTGGAAGCTTCCGTACTGCCTTGCCAGCAGAAGTGAAGCCAGCTTTTGCCACTACCAATGTGGCGAAAACATGCCCTTTGCTGGTAGTGCCCAATTAAAGATCAAGTGGCTTTGATATGTTAATGCAAATGCTACGTTAGTTCTATATTAACACATAGTTGTTCCTGACGACATAACACACAGAAACGAATATAGGTGACTGAATATCTAAAGCTCTTTGTCTCCAATTAGAGACTTACTTAATAAAATTAGTAACATTAAGACGCACTTGTGTGTGTCGTCTCTTTGTGGTGTGTCTGTGTTTGCGCTGTATAAGTACCTCTATGATCATGAACTAACTAGGCCCAAAAGAAATTTTATTGTGGCTGAGGAGCGTCGTTCCTCGGAGCAGGTTCTGCAGAATCGGCGAGGGCGAAGGCATTGGTGGCTTCCATAATTTCGTCGATGAAGGCTACCGTTGTATCTTTGTTGACGTGTTTGTATTCGTTGCTGAAATTCGTGAGCACAACTGTTGCTTTTCGTCCACGCAGCTTGGCAATTCCTTTTGCAACACAAATATCACAGTTGACCAACAGGTGTTGATTGCCTTCAGCTACGCCTTCGAAGTTATCCGGTTTCAGAGTGCCGACAGAAATGATGACGTCTGAGCGAAGAGGAACAGTCACTTGTTTTTTCAGCACATTCAGGGCGCAGCTTTTTGATGGCGTGCGTGGCGGCAGCTTGCGGGATAAATGCGGCTGTTAATGGTTACTCTGGCTGCGCAGATTCCTGTAGGTGTGACTCGGTGACATCCGGCTGTACGGATTTCTGTGCCTTACCAAGCGGCCCTAACTTTTTTCGCGGCGAAAGTCCCAGTAATGACGGAATAATCTTCTTCTTCTGACCGCGAAGTTTCGAAGTCGGGATTATGTTGCGGTTGCCGTGGGTCCTTGAGCGGCGTCGGCAGCGGCGGAGGATCTTCAGTTGTTCGTCATGCAGCAATTCGTCGTCCATTGGTTGTTGTCCTTAGTTTTCCTAATAAAGGCCAGGCGACAGGCCGCGTGTCGGGCCAGTGTACGGCCGGCGGTAAGGCGACATGTATCGACCGGGTGAAGGTGAACGTCAAAATTCTCGGGGCATCTACTGTGTTGCTGCGAGGTAGTCGGCGATGTCGCGCGGTCTTTCACCCTGCTGCGGCGCTTCAATAGTGGGATCACACAGTCGCATTTGGTGATCGTGTGGCCAGCTTCTCCGCAGTGGTACCAGAGAGGTCGGGGGCACGCCACAATTCGGTCTTCCTCGGAACATTGGACTGGCCGGCGAGTGGACGGAATCGCGACGGTGGGTGTCGGCGGAATCGCGGTGGAGCAGCGTCTTGTCACGGGCGTGGACGAGCGCAGCGGTGCACTGCAGCGGCGTAACTGATAGCTTCCGGCTGAGGCAGCGGTGCTTCGGGAACTCGAAGCAATCGCTGAGCTTCCTTGTAGACAATGTCGGTGATCGAATCCACTTGAGGCTGCACCGATGGCAATAGCTTACGCAACTCCTTCCGCACCATCCCTCAGATGGTCTCGTGTAGGTCTTCGGAGAAGATTGATTGATTGATATATGGGGTTTAACGTCCCAAACCACCATATGATTATGAGAGACGCCGTAGTGGTGGGCTCCGAAAGTTTCGACTACCTGGTGTTCTTTAACGCGCACCCAAATCTGAGAAGACGGGCCTACAACATTTCC